AAGTGTACGTCACGCGTTCCACGCCGCTCACGCGAAATAATGGCGCGCCCGCGTGTGGGCGCAATCGAAATGCGACTAAAGAACGGCAACCAATAAAATGGCAGATTGCATAAACGAGGTAGCCAATTACGTGACAGGCATACATATCTCGATAAATCGCTATTCACTCGATATCTATTGCTACTAGGGCTGGACAGCTATGCCCAATGGAAAAACAAGCCACAAGTTAACGGAGATGAGAGTGGTAAATTGATTGCCGTTTATCAAGAACTAATTCTGATTTGTAGACAATATCCCAGGACCTTCAACTGATTCCCCGCCTGCGTGAACACGGTGATCAGAAAAGGGGTTCAGCAAAGCTATGTACACATATAGTCATTTTACTTTTAAATATAATTATTCCACAATAACCGCATGCAAAGTACCTCTGCGTAAGCGAGGGAGGAATAAACATACGAAAAGGAATGGATGGGGGGCGTAGAAAAGGGCATTGGGTTAAGCAAGCGATTCCAAGCGTAGCGTATAACCTCCCCCCTCTTTTTTCGCCGACGGCGTAGTATCTCAATTAATCGATATCTAATAGATATCTATTTTTGCGACAAAATAGGTATCCAGTCGATATATGAATCTCGATAAATAGATATCTATTAGATATCTACTCAATGTAGTGTGCTACTAGGGGGTCTCCATCTAATGATCTTCTGAGTCGGAGGATTCGTTAAAAATTGCAGACCGACATGGGGAGCCGTGACGGACGCTTCAAGGCAGACGGGGACGTCAGGAAAACCATCGCTCAGGCTCAACAATGGCCTACTGAGGTCTGCTTGAAAACTACTGACTTAGTGTGCAACGATCTAGAATGTCACATTCGGATACACTGTCTTCACTTGTCTACACCCAACGTTTGCAAATTCCGATGGGTACGAACCCGTCCTCACGAGTAGGCAGACGTACTTCGGAACTGCAGACATCAATGAGCAAGAAGAGGTTACCGTGCCCAGTCTGGCCTTATAAACCTTTGCCCACGAGGCGGCATAGGACACCACAAGTAGTTCTGCACACTTTCAAACTCATCCAAGAGCTTTCAGACAGCCTAGACGACCGAAGCCTTACTTCGGCCGCAATACTTCCTTAGGCAGAAAATGCAGCAGATAAATAATCACATAATCCTACTAATAACCTACCCACGTTGCCTCGTCTTCTGATAAGCCCTGAGCCGTTGATAGTTAAGTAGGCAACTACTTTCTGTCCTCGAAATCATGCCAAATCAGTACTTATTACGCAATTCACTTGTTTAACAAGTCCAACATGAATATTCTCACCGCTTCCCATATCTGTTACCCGACAGCCGGTAACCCAGCCCAACAGTGTTCACGCATATGTCAGCCAATCAGGTGCAAGAAACCTTATGGTTTCCGGCAGATTGTTAAGATGGACATGAGGCGTCTGTGAGAGCGTTGCCCACGTTCGCAACGTAACACATGTGTTCGGCGGTTCGACATTGTCCTCCGACTGTCTTATTTGCACAGATTCACCACACCCACCAGCAAAGTTGACGTTGCTCCGCCTATTGGAAGACAAAATAGGTGGTTTGATGTCTTCGTCAGAGGACGACGTCTCCGCCCACGTGGATAATGTTTCCGACGACGAGGACGAACGCTCAGACGCGAACAGTGACTTTGATTCGTTCGCACCAAACTTCCTGACATTTTCTCCCACACTATGCATTATTTCGACAACTCACCGAACGCGACGCCAACATGTTCGTGCAGACACTAGCTTAGGCACGATAGAACGGCAGAAAAGAAGTTTTGTTAATAAAAGGGAACAGAAGCATGGGGGTTATAGGTTCGCCTCGACAGGGAACGCGCACGTGCGCAAAGTAGCACAGCAGAAAAGGCCGACCCGAAGTGTATGCGCACAAACTAGTGTGCTGATCGATCGACCGACCAATCACGTTACGTGCATTCTCCGCACGCGAGAAGAGCAACAGGCAACTTGTGGTACGCCAATCCTGGAATGCTCGCGCTAAGCGAATCTAAATTCGAATTTCCTTTTTATTAGGGTAACATTGCACTCGTATATTGCAGCTCCTACTAAAGCTATTTTTGATCTGGGTAGTTTTCTGATTGGGCTGACTTTTGTCAGTCCCATTTAGGCACTCTCTGCTCCCCAGTTCGTTCACTAGAGTGACGTCAAGGGTCTGGCATCGACGGACACCGACTGTTCGCGCTGTCTGCGGTTGGCTCGGTTGAACAACATTCTGCCCAGACCCGAGACTTCTACACTGATAAATTCTTCACGCGTAGATTCTGTCGCCTCAGCCAATCAAATAACTGGCCACAGACTCGACAGAAATCACAGCCCTCAGTACATGACCATGCAGCCGTTAGTGCAATGTTATTAGGGTGTTTGGTTTTACCTTCGGTTTATCGCTTTTGTTTTCTACTGAAAGTAACATTAAAACCTGTATATTACGGATTTCGTCGGAGCGTTATTTGCAAGCAAATCGTGCTTGGGAAAGGGCATATGCAACGACGAAATAACTTTCCTTTGCATCAGCGTCATTGATAGTGGCCCCTTTATCCGAGTCTTTATGTCAGAACGGAGGCCTGGAGTGTTTACGGAGGCAGCGGAAGCAGGGGCGCAGGCAGAAGCAAATGCCTTATGTCCGGTTTCCGGGGTTTCTGTTGAAAACACAGTTACCGTTAACCAGGGTAAAAGCGCTGTTACGGACGCTGCACCCCCTAACGTCCTGGAGGACACAAAAACGCTGTCGAAAAGCTTGGAGTTTACAGAAATAGGCCCCCAAAGAATGGGAGCTATGCTCATGTACACCTTGGACGTTGTCTTCTCGACGAACCGCATTGTTGCATACAGCATATATATCCAAAGTGCGTGTTCAACTGCACACAGGCGGAATGAAAATGTATAGTGTCCAGTCAATGCCTGTGGCCTACCCTTACCTGTGTTCGATATCCTTTTGTTGGGCGACCCTTCATTGTTAAACTGCTTTCTGGATCTGCAAGCCAGGTCCGTCTGATGATTTCTTTGGCGACTGTGTTTTTGAACTGAAAGACCGGGCCAGTGCCCTGCAGGTTCCGTACTCAAAGGATGTGATATTTGACCTGACAGTGTTATCTGCAATACTGCGGCCCGGTCTTTTGTTCGACAAGCAAAGGGATCGCAATTATTATTGCGGGTACGACAGGTATGTCGTATACTAGAGCTGATTTCAATCACTCCTGGTGTTGTCATGGACGCAGCCCTACTTCAAATCTTATGACATATCCAGTATACAATGGGCGTATGCACGAAGACAGGTCATTTAGATTGTGCACTCGGACACTGTTCCACGGAATCAGATCTCTGTCCGAAGATTGGTCCACCAATATGTTTGTCTGTTTCTCAGTTGATTATATGCACTTCCTCAGCCTGAGGGTCTTGCGGAAAATGCCGCATATGTAATGACCTCGATTCGACAAGTTTACCTCATAACCGCACAAATCTGTCAGAAAATGCATTTACTGTCTGCTGGCAGAGTTTCCATGCAAATGCCGCACTGGACGTGCAGGAATTTCGGAAGGCTGCCGAATGCCGGCAATTCTTACTTTATGTTGGTCCCGTCGTTTAGCCGCTTTTGTTACTGACTGCTGCCATAAATACTCTACAGTTATTTATTCGAGTCTCTATATTTTGCATACACTGCCTTTGTTTTAGCGTTTTTTGACGATGCGCCTTTCGCAATTTCAATATGCATATTTCACCACCTTATTTTGCATCCAGTCTGCAAACATTATACACGCACTGTATTAATTAGTTTCAGTTCTCGTTTTTCTGTGTGCGGTATTCATTGTCGGGTCGACCCTCCTGATGGGCTCAGTCATTTTGGGGTGTTGTGCGACATCCGAGCACTTCCTTATGAGTCTTTTGCATAGAGGGGCTTGCTAACATAGCCCTGCAGATTCACAGGTGATCCTCCAAAGGGCGCCTACCTGATTTGCTAATATGCCCAATGCTGTTGGATTCAAATGAGAAAGTTCAACAACTTTTACGCTATCCCATAGAAACGCTGTACTTTTTTCCAACGGATATACCCAATAATGGGGCGCTTATCGGAAATAGACCGCTAGCGTTAAGCTACGATGACCAGAATATTGTGTCATGGGCGATTGAGGTCAGTACGTTAGTTGGGCTGAACTAGCGACCTCCAAGGAACAGGCCTCGAACGTTGGTGGCACTCGAAAACCCCACCAACTTATCCGCCAAGTTGATGGTAAGCCCTCTACTCTGAGTGACTGTTCGCGACGTGAATGACAGTTTTATTACTGACGATTCGGCCGAAGTCGAGCGCTGTCGTGAGCACTTCGAGCACCATCTTAACTTTGGTACCCAACCCACCACGCCCTTGGTTTCCTCTGCAGCGGAGTTTCTTCGCTTTCCAACTTATGCAGTGTCATGTGACCCCCCTTCTGAAGGAGAAGTCGCCGATGCCATACGAGAGCTACGCAATAAGAAGGCACCCGGAGAGGACGGTATACCCGCTGAAATCTAAAAGTCTCGTGTCGACACTCTGGCGCCGTGGCTCCATGAGGTGATTGAACAAGCGTGGAGAGACGAGGTTGTTCTGATGACTGGGGCTTAGGTATCCTTGTACCTATCCCCGTGAAGGGAGATAAGACAAGCTACGAGAACTGCCGCGGCATAAGCCTAATCGACGTTGCTGTGAAGATTTTCGCTATTGTCCTACTCAGGCGTTTCCAGGTTGCGTGACTCTAGGACGAGGCCCAGCCAAGCCAGATTTCGTGCTAGACGCGGTTGTGCAGACCAAGCATTCACACTGGGGCGCATTCTCTAATTCCGCTATAGCGACCAACCACCAACGGCCGTCTGCTTTAATGACTTTGCTGCCGCATTCGATTCCGCCCGTCCTGAGTCCCTGTGGCAAATAATGACACTAGACAGTGTACCGCCAAAAATCGTCGCCATGGCCAAGGCCTATTATCGCTCCACCATCGCGCGAGTTCTGGTCCACAGCAATATTTCCCACCCATTCGGTATTTCGTCTGGCGTTCGACAGGGTTGTATACTGTCACCCATTCTGTTCAACTACGTCATCGACTGGATTCTCGGGAGGGCCCTACACGGAAATGACGGTATTGAGTCTGTACCCGGATACCGACTGACTGATCTCGACTATGCCGATTATATTGCCTTACTTGCTTCAAGTTTCAGTGATCTGCAGTCTGTGGTGTCACGGGTGAACGAGGTCGCCCAATCGGTCGGTTTGTTCATAAACGCTGAGAAGGTAAAGTGTTTTGAAGCTGCCTCCCTGACCAAGGGAAGGCATCTCTTGGGATTGATGGCTGTCAACTTGAAGAAGTAGACAGTTTTACATACATTGGGACGAGGTTGCTGCCGAATGGGCAGCGCAAGAACGACATTGTCTCTCGAATTGATGCTGCCCGACGGGTTTTTTCAAGCCTTAGAAAGGCCTATGGATCCGATGCGACATCTCCATTGTCGCCAAGACGCGCATGTACCGTGCATCTGTTCGGTCTGTCCTTCTCTATGGTTGTGAGTGCTGGGCTGTGCGCGTGGTGGACGAGCGAAAACTGGAGGCATTTGACCACCACTGCTTGAGGACGATCCTTTGAGTGAAGTACGCCGACTTCGTCTCAAATGAGACAGTCCGCGCTCGCTGCTACAACGTCACAATGATAACCCAGGCTACCCAAGAGGTGGTTTGGGCGTGTTCTTCGTCGTCCACCTCAGGAGGTCAGTACTACTGCACTCGATCCGGTACCGTTACCCATTGGAGGCGTCGAGGAGGGGGTCAACTCAAAACCTGGCTCGACGCAGTTCGTCAAGATATGGAGGTGGTTCTTGGGCCCTGGGTATTGAGTCTCTATCGTTGGCGAAGACAGTGGGTTGAACTGTCTAGAGCTGCTGCCGCGGATCGTCACGCGTGGAGAGGTACAGTTCAGGACATCATCAAGACCGGTCCAACAACCCGTCAGTATGATGGGATGGCTCTTGGGTCGTCGGTATTGGCCCTCCATCCTTGGAGAAGAAAGTGAATCGGTTTCTCCGAATTCCTTGTTGCAGATCACCACACGTGGAGATGTACACTTCGCGATATAATCGAGGTCTACTTAATCAGGCATGGCCCCAGTCACATCAGGAACAAGTGAGTGCATAGGAAACTATAGTGAGAATTAGTAGGAGGGAATGTCACTAAAAGCAATTGAAGGAGATAATTGCACTGTCGGAACTTGTGTTTATGCCTTAAGGAGGATAAAACGTTTATAAAATTGTCGTGGGAGGCAACCGTAAGTAATTTATTCCATTGCTGAGGCCTAGAGAAGTGTCACTTGCAGAGGCTACGAATGTCCTGTTCTGAAGCCGTCGATTCTACTCAAAGCAAACATATGAATACACACATCAACTAAGAAAACTGACACCTTGCTCTGATGATTGAGCATAAAATTGTATTTCAGGTGCAAAGTTTTTGTCTTCGGTTAATCGCAGGTTTGTCCAACTTTGTGATGTAGGCAACATAGCCGACGGGCTACCTACATTTGTCGTCAAACGTGTACGAGACAATTCTAACTCCCATGATAAGCGTTCGCTTTTTATCCGCTTATCGAAGAACCATTCAAGTGCATCGCTGTATATTGGTGTCACGTAGACTGCAGCAGTCATGTTAGCACGCGGAACGTGTATGCCGCGGAATTCCAGCTAAGTACTATCGACTGCAACAGTCCTGTGTAAGGCCCTCACACCTCATACAATTTTGATTATGCATCATCCAGTCGGTGTCGTTGATGTCTCGATTTACACCCATCCGCACTTGAATATGGTAGAGGGGCGCTTACCTATCGTTCTTACGGAACTCACTCGCTCCGTTGTGCCTTACGGGCTTTCTATCGAGCCCAACCAGCAGCCGCACAGCGGCGCATGATATAGGCAGAATATCTGTGGCTTGATCCAGAGAGCTCAACCCATTCTCTCCTCCAACAACGGAGGCCGAATACAAAAGGTCCAAGACTCACTTGCATGTCTTTGCGAGCTGTGTTGAGCTAGGTTTTGGGCTGGCCTCCTCTTTGTCGCCTCAAGGTAGGCAACGGCGCTACATAGGGTCCATCAACACTGTACTCATGAACGGAACAACGAAGAACCTGCCCAAATGCCTCGGTCATCTTTGGTGGATGGTTTGAGATATCCTCGTGAAATTGTTGCAGCGGGTGCGAACTGCTTCATTTGAGATGGATGTTTCTCAGGCAGCCGTGGTCAGACACCACTTTTTGCCCATATTCCACGTGCACATCCCAGAATTCATAGCCATACGGGAGGACTGACCGGATGGATACCCGGTACACGCGGATTTTTTTTCAGATGAAAATACGGCGGCTTGTGAAGACTCCACCGACAACATCAGTGTGGACGATTATATCGTTTTCACCGTGTCCATTCGACAGTACTATGTTGAAACAGTCAGCTTCTTCAGGTTGGCAGCCATTAATCTCGAGGATTGATTTATCGAATTCATCTACTCCCGACACCACAGCTTTGGTCACCGAAACCTGAGACTACTACAGCGACTTAGTCAGCGTAGTCGAGACCAGTCAACCAACGCCCAGGTGCAAACTTAACACCATCAAAACCATGCAGGGCGTTTCCGAGAATCCAATCAATGGCGTAGTGGAACAGAATGGGGAAAGGATGCAGCCCTGTCAAATGCCAAATCGAATTTTGAATTCTTGGAGAGATTGTTGTGGACTGATACGCTCGCAATGGTCTAACGAAAGTAAGCTCTGATCATGACGATGAATTTTATCGGCATGCCGTCTAACTTCATCATCCCCCACATGGAATCAGCATGGCTGGAATCGAATGATGCAGCGTAGTCGATGACACGGATGACTGTCGGTTTCTGGTAGCCATGGCGAAATTCAAGAGTGCACATCTGCTGTAGCCGGGACCGTAACAAGCACGCAAGGGGGAGAGCACGAGCAAAGCGGGATACAGGAATCAGAACGAAGAATACCCTATAATAGGGCTTTATTTATCTTACGGTTAATATACTGGAACTAAGTCGGGAGATAGGATAGCAGTAGATAAGATGGAATTTCGCCAGGGCATAAGTTAACATGACATTAACCCCAGCCAACAAACAGAGTGATAGAGGCGTCGACAAATCGGAGGATAAATTTTGCAAATGGTATAGGTTAGGCTTCTCTGCTACGAGGGCAATATGGATGAACACGTTGTTATTGTTGGATCAATGTCCCTACCCTATGCTTATGGACATCTTCAGCGCCAGATGAACTAAGAGGTGTTGCATCATTCTGTTTATCAGTTGAAATGGCACTGCCTTCCTGTTCAGTAATGGGTAAGTGGTCAGGGGAAGATGAAATGAATTTTTCAGGTACGAACGTGGCCGTCTCCTGATGGCAATCACCGATATCCTCTTTACCTCTGGGAGCAAGTAATTGGAGGGATACAGTTTCCCCTCTGCCGTTATTAAATCGTATATGAGTGTATTTTGGTTTCACTGGTGCAGATCGATGTCCTCAACGAGCGGATCAAGTTTAGACTGTTGACTGCTCTTCACCAGGACTCGGTCAGGAGAAATAAGCCGCATGGAGAGAGTGGTCCCAGTGGTTTGCCTCCAATTGCAGACAAAAATTCTCTAAAGAGGTGTCGCATTAGGGGCGGCACACAGAAGTGGTCTGACTGAGTGTAGAGCGTCAAGTAGGACGGATTTCCAGTGCGTGGCAGGCAAACTTCGGGATTTTAGAGCATGTAAGATAGTCTTCCATTAAGTTTGGTCCGAACGTTCGACCTGCCCATTTCCCTGGGGCTTGCAGGGAATTTTCCTACTCATCGCCTCCCCCTTATTGAGAAGGGATTGCTGAACTTTGTGTGACATAACTGACGATCCCCGACCGGCGTGTATGTACGAAGGAGTACCAAATATAGAGAAGAGCTGACACAAATATTAAATGACGGTTTCGGCGCTCCGATCAGGACAGGAAAATGCAAATTGGAAACGAGGATTTTCATCAGTAATCGTCTGCAGATAGCGACTCTCGGTCACCAACGGAAGTAGACCTTTGAAGTCTATTGACAATCATTCAAACGGCTGGGTAGCTTTTGATGGGTTGGCCTCATTCTTTAAAGCAACGGGGTTTGACTTCGCAGCAGGTTTGACATGTAGCGACAGTAGTAGATAAGATAGAATTTTGCTAGGGCATGAGTTAGCATGACAACATTAGTTGGATACCTAGTCAACGCATTCACCTTCAGCGCGAGACCGATTTGGTTGGGCCCCGTCCTCGAGTCACGCACATTCTTAAGTCTACTGAGAAGGACAACATTGAAGATCTTCACTCAAACTCGCTAAAGCTTATGTCGCGGTAGCTCTTGCGCTGCCTCCAATCTCCCCACTCGAAGACGGACATAAGGATTTCTGGGCTCCAGTCATTAGTGATGAGCTCATCTCACCACGTTTGCTCAGTTAACTTATGGAGTCGGGGTGTCAGAGCGCCGACACGGGATTTGTAGATTTCAGTGGGAATACCGTCGTCTCCGGGGGCCTTGTTGTGCAGCATTCGTATTTCATCAGCATTTTCTCCTTGAGTCAGCTCACACGACATTTTTGAGGACAAAATTGTGCTCACGCCAACCCCCGTCCTTGGCCTATTTGTCATAAATGAGTAGATAGATAGATAATTTTTATTAAAGACCCGTCGGAGTCCCATTTTCATCGCGAACAGTCACTCAGTGCAGGGGGGCTCACCAATAAGTGGGCGATTGTAACCAAGGTTTGAGGCACATTTCACGGAGGTCGTTGTTTCAGCCCTATATTTCTGCCGACCGTTTCTAGCCCACTTTGTCGTCATTTTCCGAAATCGACGGAAGTAATCATAGTTGTTGGATCTGACTTGAGCAGCCTAAGCGGCCAGCTGCAAGGTTCTTCCGCTGATCCAGTCACTGCGGCGCTGCTGGGTAGATCAAGTATTCACTCGGCTGCCTCACAGGTTGATGACTTCTGTGATGACCACTGGCTGTTGCTTTCTCCCTGGACTCGGGTCGTAAAAGGAGGCTAGATTTCTATGCTCAGAGCCCGGCTGTGTTGACTTTTCGTAGTTTTGAAACGTGGAGGCGTCGTGAATTTGACAATTTTGGTGCGAATAGGTGAACTTTAGGCTTGTACGAGCGAGAAAATGGTTTGCCTCATGAGCGTTGCCAGTTTTAACACCGCACATCGATCTGCTGTCGTGAACGCAGATGCGGAACACCCAAACGTCTAGAATGTAGTCAATCTGACCGACCGTATGACTGTTGCTTGAATAACAGGTCGACAGATGTTTGTGGTGATACTGGAAGCACATGTTGGTGAAAAACAGTCGGTTCCGGTTTACAGAGTTCAGCATTCACTCGTTATTGACGCACTGAGGAACAAGCCCAAAGCAGCCAATAAGGTGACTGAAGAGTTGCCGCGTTCAGTCCGTCCATTCCAGCCCACATCAACAAGCAGAAAATCACGGTGAGGGAGTCATTCAAATACTTTCTACGGCTGCAAGTAGGTTTATTATGTAAAGCGACCATTCAGTTGTACCTAAGCCATTCGTGTTGCACTGATGAAGACTACGCCGTCAGACTTCGTGTGCCAGGGTCCAAGATCGCATATTTCAGCATCCAAGAACACAAATTCCTTCTCGGCTTCGTAGTTCAACTCGCACGCTATTCGCCCACATCTGAACCGGTTTTCGCGGACGCCGTAGCATGGATCACTGTATTTGTGATACCTGAGGGGTTCGTTCACTTTCCCCCTGAAATCTGGTGGTCGACGAAAACCCTGATCTACACAGACTTGGGAGATCGGATTACTGTCGTCTAAACTTCGTGCACGAACAACAATAAAACCAGCCATTCAGGGTTTCTTACGCCAGAAGTTGCCCATCTAGACATTGCTGTCGCCGATTTGCTCGACAGTATTGTAGCGTTAAGCCCATTGGAAAGACTGAGACGGCGCTCAGTAAGGGGCATCCCTATGTGCGTACGAAGTGGAGCATGTTGGCAAGTGTCCAAAGGTACTGCTGTAGCGGGCGTCTGTCAGCGGAAATAGCGACTCGCCTCACGCATGGCCGATTGTTGGCTACTTTTCTTGTTAGACTGTTTTTATATAGAACTCACCGAGCTTCTTATTTCCTTGTGGCGGCGACCTACACTATCTTGTGTGATCGGAACCCATGATAGCACTGCATTTTGAATTTCCAAGGAATCCTCGAGTCGTGCTCGAATCGTCATTGTCTGTTTTTGAGAGGTACAATACTTAAACAATGCATCTACGCACTCCACAGGGATTTTCCTTCCGACGAACTTGATTCAGGTTGCCGACAACGAACATAACCATTATACTTATATTTTTTTTCTTGTTGCCCATTTTCTTCTTTTAGGTTGAGATGCAGAACATCACCCGGGTGGAAAAGCGATTGGCAGCTAGGCGTCTAAAGCGGAAGGATGAAAAGCGGCGTAGGCGCGAGCGCGATGCACTCACCACACAAGAGTCCGTTAAAGCTGGAAACTACGTTCCCAAGAGAACTCTTCTTCGTCAGTCGCGTGAAAGGATGATGGAGAACCTGCTGAACGCACCAAAAATATGCATAGACTGCTCTTTTGAGTCATTGATGTCTCCTAAAGTAGCTCGCTGTCTCTTTGTTTACATCCAGTCCTACACTTTGCCAGGAACGCAGCAAATTCGCCCAGCAGCTTTGTCGTGCCTATGGCGCTAATAAGAGCTCCCCGGAGCCCTTCAGTCTGCATCTTACGAACTTTTCCATGGAGAGTGCCCTTGGTATCTGCTGTCAGCAGAAGTGCTCCGGATTTGAAAACTACAAGGTGAAATCTTTGTATGGTGTATGAGTGCTCTGCTTGTTTGACTTGTCCAGGACTGGAGAGACATATCGCCACGGTAGCCACCGGTCGCCTTTGTTCACTATCCAACATCTCACCATCGAGGGTGTGGTGACACACCTAGGTGCGGGTTTTCGCCGTGCCAGCCACCTGCGCCCTCCCCTGCCTCCCGTCGTGACAGCGTGCCCAGGTGGAGGAGGAGAGAGTGTGGTAGATGCCGTGAGAGTCTATAAACGAATTCACTCGCAATTCACCGTCCTTGCTCTCGCCCTGTCGTGGAACACACGGTGGGCATCGTTGAAAACGACGAACTCTCAGACTGACCGGACCAAAAGTGCAAACAAGGCATTTTAGAACTCTCAGGAAGGCGCACTCATGAATCTTAAACCACTACTTGCATATCAGTTCGACAGTCTTTCTACCTTACCCGGCTTGCAGCCAACACCTAAGATAGTCAGGGAGTATTACCAGCAACGGCAATGATGACGGAACAGGCCATTGTTGGCTTTTTTGCTAGCAGCTTGCCATGTCCCAACCAAATACATTTTGATTGTTATTACTCATCGCTTTACGACTAGCTCCCAAAAGTTGATCCGGAGCTCCACGCCGAACCGGAATCGCCCGCTTTCCGTTGTAGTGGAAGGCACCACTACAACGTGACTTGTGGCGGTTGCTGCATATCCATTCTGCGCTTTTATTACTTCCAGATGAGGGTATTCGAGGTTACTTAGCTGGTCTCGTTTTTGACCCGAGTTGTCAGCCAAGCTCAGTTCTATTCTCTCTCTCCCTCTCTCTCTCTCCCTCCCTCTCTCTCTCTCTCTCTCTCGGGGGATTTTGTCTCAATTTACTGTCGCATGAACTATCCCACCCCCCCCCTTTTGTCTATCATTTTCCAGTTTTCTTTTGCAAATCAGAATTTAAGTCAACTCTTCGCAAATTGCAGATTGGACTTCACGCAGTATCACCGGCAATTCAGTTCCCCACCTCTAAACTAGTCTACCTTTCACCCGAAGCCCAGTCACCCCTTTTGGACCTTGAACCAGACACTATTTACGTGATTGGTGGGCTTGTGGATGAAAATGTTCGAAAGGTTTGTCAGTGTTTTTTGACAAGCATTTTTGGAAAGCACCCTGTGATTACCGCCTCGGCATCAGACGCCTACATATTTATAGCCGCACTGTCGATTCCCTCGTCAGCTCACTTCACTAACGTTCTGCTTTCACTCCTTTCATTTTCGTCAGACCTAAGTGCCATTCTGATCTGTTAGGTTTTTTTCGCGCTGTTAGCCAAAGACGTCTCACCAACTGGAGTTCACTCCTGTAACAGACGATTAGAGCCGTTTACTTGATCTTTACCCACTCGATTGCCCCTTGAACCCTTTTCCCACGAAATCCTAGTTCTAGGACGATTTTATCATTTTAGGGCGCCAGTTTGACAGCCGCTGACTCCCTTGGGGTTGAAACAGCACGTTTGCCACTCCAAGAATTTGGTCCGGAGGGTTGGGGCGCAGGGAACAGAACAAAGTCGTCCGCCCTTCCCATCAATATTGTCCTCAGCATCCTCCTCTCTTACCGCCAACACAAGGACTGGAGAAAAGCCTTCGAGATCAATTTACCGAAACGTTTTCAGACGTGAAATTCTATATCCTATCCTTTTCTGCATTATTTAACAGAAGTGCTCCTGCTCTCTTGTGTTTTTGGTGTTTTTTCCTCACAGTGTGTCGTTAGTAGGCCATCTGTGGGCTTCTCATTTATGCTCTGGGTCTATTCCGCGTTTTGTGGCTGTTAAAACTTGAGAGTAGTTTTTCAACATTGCTCACACGCTACTAACGGGCCGATGGGTCTGCCGTAGGACTGAGCACATGGTAGGGAGTAGGCATCCGCACTAAGATGCGGGCCCTGTTTTCCTCTTGGGTGCATTTGTCAGAGCATGGCTCGCGTACTTTCAGGGTGCTTTGAACCAGTAGATACATTGTCACTGAAGTGTTGAAGTGGCTCTGGATAACCGGGGAAATGCGCTTGGGCGTATTGGACCTGGTGTACTAGTTGCGGTAGTTCTGTCCCTAAAGAGGGCAGTGCTGCCGCGCCTTGACCTGAGACGAAGCCAACCCTTTTTTCGGACAGGTGTTCCAGTGACGTCTGATTTGCGCATGTTGGTAGTCAGCATTTGTGATTCACACCAGGACCAGGAACCGAGGTCTGCTCAACCATTGGGTCCAAGCTAATTTCTAGCCGCCGCGGACTTGTCATCTCACTAGGACGCAATGGACTTTGGAGGGAAGAATGACGTTTTAGCTGCGTAACCATCCTAAACTTCAACTCAAACCACTCGTTTGGTCATTACTTGTTGGGAAGGTCCACATTTCCAAAGGGTCAGCCTCACTGGGAAGCGCGTGCGCGCGTCTCGGCCGCGTGCATGCAGCGTCTCACCATTGGCTGCGGTTGCGGTGCCCCCGTAGAACCTGACTGCTTCATGCGTGCGAGAAGTTCGTCGGCTCTTCTAAGCCCCTATTGAACCGGAGTGAAGAGTGGTAGTCAACCTGAGGAGGACGCTGTAAATGCACGTCATTTTTAGTAAGAATAACTGGCGGACTCTAGCAGATTTTATCGTGGCCGATCGTTTTCTGTTTTTTTTGTCATATTGGTGGTTTGGACAGCGGTCGACCACAAACGCTGTTCGTATTATTACTGACTATCGCGTAGGGTCATAACACTGCTCATCTATTTAATCCGCTGTGGCCCCAGTATCCGCAACGATGTTGCAACCGACGTCATGGTCGGTGTATACTCCTGACGTCGATATTGTGCAGATGCACTTCCTATAGCAGAGCATTCTCGTTGTTGGTTGGCTGACATTTCTGAGTTGAGCGGTGTATTTCGTCTAGTAGATGAGCACGTGGCTGCTGCAAGGCAGGATACCGTTGAGCGGTTACTAGGAGGCTTATCAGTTTCACTACGTTGAACCGCTTCGCCAGGCGGGGGGCGGGGTGGTATATAATCTTGAACGAAGCACTGGCTACCTCCGAAATCTGACTGGCTCTGTACTTGTTAGAACACAACAGGCCTCATCCCTACGGAAGAGCAATGTTGTCCCATCTTCACATTGGCCTGCGGGATGTCCGCATTCCCAAAGAGAGTCGGCTTATTTAGCTGGAAAGCACGTCCACGCGTTCCCCACTGCATGCCAGAAGCGCGCTGTCGACGGCGTCCCGCCAGTGGCTGCGGCCACAGTGCTTTTTTAGAACCTGATTGGTCCATTTCCGCGGGGGGGTTGGTTAGCTCTTCCAGAGCTTCCTTCTTGAAACCGACTGGACAGAATGCCAGCCAACCTGAACGGTATACTATATATAAGTGGCGTTTTTCAATGAGAATGGCTCGCAGGTCCCGGTACATTTTCCTATGGCTGGTCGCGTTTTGCTTCTCTACCGTGTTGAGGACAAAATTATGCACGCGTACGACTCGTGTTATTGCTAAGTACCAGACCGGGTCATAACAAGTGGCAACAAGAAATGCACAGATTATGAGGGCTCAGACTCCGTATCTTCGGTGAGGCGTGACCCGTAAGCTAGGCAGAGTTAGCATTCGCTGATTAGTCCCGCTTGCCGGGCACGGTGTCGACTCCGCTTTATGTTGGAACCCCCGCCTGGATTTCCGCTGGTGGCCGCATAGCGACTAACATTCAGTGATCGAGAGGTCACCTCAGCCCAGCAGTCCCGGCGTATCGTCGAACACCACTCCCGTGTGGCCTGGAAATTCCCTATCGAAGGAGACACCAAGAGCCGACGGCTCAACTGGTAGGGCACTCATCTCTGACTATCCGAATCAGAGGTCAAGTCTCAGGCCTACTCTGCCTGTATTTTGGGTCTAAATAGTTGTCGATGGAAAATGAGCCAGAATCGGGTGTCCTAGCCCCATTTGTTCACATAAGGGGTATTTCCTAAAGGGGGTTGGCCTCGCCAGTGCATCAGGCCCTCATCGGACTGCCTTTAACTTAATTGTTGCATTAAGTTGTCTCCGGCTCGAAAGGCTTTGCCGCAGTGGTTGGAACTCGGGCGAGACCAGAAGGATCTATGGTGTAGGAGCTTCCGGTCCGACATTTTGACCGTCGACTTCGGCCATGTCAATCGTGTGCTCCACAGCAGGGTGAGAGCACGGATGGTGGCTCGTGCGTGAAGTAATGTATAGTGGTAATGGACTTGCTACGCATCTACCCCACTCGTACCCCTTCCCCCTCCCCACCCGAATCCGGTATCAAACAAAGTCAAGGAGACCGGAGATGGGAGAAGGCGCAGGTGGCTGGCTAGGCGTAAACCCGCACCTATGCGTACCACCACATCCGCTAGTCCACGACAACTGACCGAGAATTCAAACAACAGCAAATATGGGGGAGGGGTCAGAGATCCCAATTGGCGCGGCGTCGGCCTGCAACTGCGCCTGCCGCCGTACCCCGAATGTTGGCATGTGTTATGGGTACACATTTCGGATAACGCCTGCCAGAATCCAAAGTAGCCCCCGTATTGTTCCAACACATCTATCGCGTGGCCCGTTTTAGGTGCACAAGCTTCCGGTCCACCGGGCGGTCGCATCCTCGGGCACTTTTGAGGTGAGGCGTGATTATCTGTATAAGTTCGACGCAGTATGATTTAAAACTACCTTCAGGCCTCAAGTGTACCTCAGCTAACGGAGGTTAGGGGGCTTGTCGAACTTTTTAAATGAGTCATAATCTGAGACAACGGAAGTGCTATAATATCGCCACCGTCCGACACAAGAATCTCGTATCCAATGCTTGAACCCGCCCGACTCAGTCTAGATCGCAGACTCCCTGTCTCCCGATTATGACTGCAACCGTGCATCTTAGCTTTCTTTTGATGCAATATCAACTGTAAAGGACAGCGGTGCACATCGTTGTCGCTGCGCCCCAGGGACAAATTCCGCTAAGGGCCATCACACCTGAAGCCTGAGAGCGGAGATCAGACCCACGGACTGGAACGACCCCACCGTCAGATCGATCCTCACGAAATGCACAGAACCCTGTGTACGAACTGATGCGACATTACTCTTCTTGCTTTTGTTGCTGGTTTTCTTCGCCGTACTGGTAGTGTATTGAGCGGACGAATTTCAGTGTGCATTTTAGTTGGGATGGAGATGTATGAATTATGTGTGAGCGGAGAATGTCGTAAAGGTCGATCTCTACGGTATGGGAAGTTGTTCCGTTATAATAGGGAAACCTGGATTCTCCTACTTTACAGAGAAAGTACGGGGATTCTGGTGTCCCAGAGCATAATAAGCTATAGGAGTTCTGCCTTAATTCTTCATATAAGGACAGGTAAATCGGATGACTGCATAACCGTACTGCAAGCGAGCATGTCAGGGATTCATAACGTAGAACGTCAAGAATGATCCATTTGCGTTAGCGACTCCCAGTTATGCACTTACGGCTGAGGTTAGAGCCACTTACCTATCTGTTGGTGGCTCGTCGTCGTGCATAAGTCATTGGTTCTCCTGTGGTGGCCCTCCTCCTAGTGCCCATTGCAATGCTGCTCCCCTCGCGAGTGCTAGCACGTGCTGGTCAACGGCAGCCTGGTTTTCGCCCGCTCACAGCTTCCCAACTAGCCAATCATTTTCAAGGCCGAGTCAGACGTGCTCTCGCCCAGGGCGTCGTGAAGCCGCTGCCCTGGGAGCCAGACGTACCCTGGTTAGGCCGCCAGCTCCCTCCAGCTCTTTCTCCAGTTATTCTGCGCGGAATACACCATACTCGCAACTTGTGTCCAACTCCTCCTTTTATTGGGAACCAAGCCTGAAGGTTTTAGTGGTTGGTGTGTCACTATAGCTTAAGCTGTTTTGACACTCCTATTGTCAAGAAGAAGAAGAAGAAGAAGAAGAAGAAGAAAAAGAAGAAGAAGCACACATAGTTCCGCCCCACCAACAGATTTACGAAATCGCTGAGATAAAATTGCATCGGGCAGCAGGTCGAACGGGCTCGCAGCCGTCCTCTGATTGAACGCATATGCGAGTAACAGGTCAACCATAAGAGTCAACTCAAAGTGGGAGACTTTCATCAAGCCAATCCTTGTGTATGGGTATGCGATAGGACTCGCGAGCTTTGAGGCTGTCGTCGGACATGACTTTTCGTTCAAGAGTGCTTATATTCGATCCTCTGACTTCTTCAACTTGGGTATCAAGCATATCGGTGACGTCAATACGGCACAGTAAAAGCGGTTCTCAGTCGTATTTTTATCCTGTGGCTTACAACCTGGCTCAGTTGTGCTCTTCCTGCCTTCTTCTACTTATGAGGAAGGAATGTTAATTATAATGTAGTTAGCTTGTTATCCAGGACCGATGAAATCAGCCGACCCCGTGGCACCATAAGTACAGACAGCAGCGGTCTGCCGTCAGTGGGCGGAAAGGCCTTAAATTCGTCAGCTGCGACGTTTCTCTTAAAATGTCCTCCATCACTGCGAAACTACTGGGACCCGCACCAGATAGGTGACAAAAACTGAGAAGGTTTTCGACCTTTCTTGATCTCCACAGTAAGGGTAACACGTTACCCAAGCGAAGGACTCCTTTGTGTCGACGCTGAGGCCGTTAGAAAACACATAAACTAAATAAGAGGCACTTTGGAATGGGCTGTTTGAC